CTCTCTCTCTCTTTCTCTCTCTTTCTCTCTCTTTCTCTCTCTCTCTCTCTCTCCCTCCCTCTCTTTCTCTCTCTCTCTCTCTCCTGTTATTTATTATATCTAAGATAAATTTATAATAAATATATAACAAATAATATCAACGAGAATAATTACCCCTCTTTGCAAGCAACTCATTCCTGGTATAACATTTTGACTGGCGATAGATTGAAGAACGCGAGGTGTGCCATACATGGCACCTAAACAGCTACTAAACGATGATACGTACAGACCAGCAAGTAGTAACACTGAGATTGCTGATACCGTTGATGCTATAGTAAAGTTGATAAGCAAAGCATTTCTGACGCAAGTTGCCGCGAGAGTTAACGAAAAGCATAAATATAAAAACGTTCTGCAAATAATAATCGTTTTAATGTAAAGATCAAAAATTTTTCAAAATAATTCACATTAAAGACAATTCATTTTACCCAGTTCCCAACGCCGCTAAAGTACCATTGGGAATATCGCTAGATGGATGCCTCAAATCTCCGCTCATGTTAATTCCAGCTAAAACACCGGTGACCGTGGGAAAGAATACACCGAACACGGTAAACCAGTTATATCCATCTTGATAATCGGGAAAGGTATTGTTCCTCAAATTTCCTGAAAGCCAACCTTCAAAACCAGAATCTGCAAAAGTAAATAGTAAGTTACTTTAGCTATATTCATACACAAAGACATAAAGCATTTTACAAAATTCTTATTACATTACACATTGTTATTTTTTGTTATAATATAATACAATACGATATGTTATCTTACCAATGTTGGTATGAGTAAAACTTCCAACCATGAAATCAACTCCAGCGAGGAGTAGGATAAGTAAGAGGATAAATTGCAATTTTATAACCCATTTAACACCAGCCACATTAATTACGGACAACAATATAACGGCTGCGCACGCGAAGCCGCGTTGTGTCCATGCTGAATTCAAACCTACAAGACCGGCCATTGATTCCCCAAAACCTAAAACGTTTAGAGCACAACCCACCGCCTGAAATAAAATCCACAAACCGATTCTTGGAATCGCTGATAAAATGGAAGGATGGGTTTATTCGTTCCTACCTGCCCGAAGCAGTAAAGTAATCCGATAGAGCCACCAAATCTAGAACCCAGTACATGCGACAAGAGAAAGTACACTCCACCACTTTCGACTCTACTCCGTTCACATATACCCACAGCTGACAGTACTGTCACCAATGCAATACATACTGAAATCATTACAATACACAATAATCTCCCCCAATATTTGCATCAACTTATTTAAAAAATATATATATATTTTTAAGTATTAAAAATATATATATATTTTAGAAGTATTATTTTTAATATATATTTAATATATATTTAATATATATGTAATATATATTTTAGAAGTATTATTTTAAAGAAATTATTTCAAAATATTATTTTTAGAAAAATATTCTCGTTCTTGTAGAAGATATATTTGTAGCGTCTCGCTCATGAAAATATATATATTTTACAAAAGATATAATTAAGGCAAAACTCTATTGTATCTTTTGAATTAATAATATAAATATATTAGTTATATAAATCTGTTCTTTGTCACTGTACTGAAGTCAGCTCTATAATATTCTGCAGTATCCTTCAAGAAAAGTGGAAATATTCCAATTCCTACAAAACAACATTTTAATGCAAAAATTACTGTTTTCTTTGTCAGGGTCTCATTGATTAGTTAAAGTTATAGAAAAAAATTAGAAAAACAAGTATTTAGATCTATTCTTTTTCTATATTGCTGGAATAAACTTCTTGCACAATTAATCTTTCTTCGTTTTCTTTTCAAACAAATTATATTTACCTTCCTATTCTCTGTCAGCAGTAGTTTCCTATAATTTAATATATATAAGGAAAGTATACTCCAGTATATTATATATAGAGTTCATTGACTGGACTGCACTAAAATTTTTTACCTAGTTTTCACTAAACTTCAAATATATATCTATTTCATTTTAAGTACAATAAGTATATATTAGTTTAACCACAAAGAACAGATTTAATAATTAATCTTTTACTAATGTAATGATACTACCTGTACAAAAGATGATTAATACTGCATTCAAAACACCTGCTTGACCAACTATCCAGCCAGATCTCAGAAATACAATTACACCAAATATGTTAATAAGGCAAGATGTAAAAACGCCATCCCAGGTGCCAAACAACACAGGCTGGGAGATAAAAAAGTTCGATTTCCACCAAGGATCCGAACTCTATGGAAAATACAAAAGAGTAATACTATAAGACACTATAGTTGAATCAATTTAACTTTCTATTATGTCACACATATTTCTTACATATTCCTGCGCGAACAATTCGTTTGCACCGGCCTGATACATTTCTGGACCAAGAGCATTATTATCATCTCCATTATTTCTTTTTGCGTTTTCTTGTGCCTCTGGGTCACGTAAACCGTATCTAGCCCAATCAACGTCTCTGTGTACCCGAACGTCGCCGTTTGCAAGTCTATTCTCCTCGTTCGATCCCATTTTTTCGGGCCAAAAGAACCACGCAAGTCAGAATAAACAAGATCAATTCTTGCTCATTGACGTCAGCTTTATTCACGTGGAGATTATAACGAAGATTTCCTACGTTGACATAATGCCATATTTGTCACTGGTCTATCTCACGATACTTTCATCTCGCGATGATAAGTAACGCGTACAGGTTAGAATATGAAATTCAGGAAATAATAAGGTATCTTTAATGCCGCACGATAAACGCAACGAACGTTCTGTTCAAGAGAGAAGAGTTATTTTTTCGTCTTATCAAGATGCTGAGTCCGCATTTTTTCGTGATATTTATCAGTAGCTGACGTATGACTGGACGACAAAAACCACCATATTGATTTTGACCCATTCTGACGGCAGCTGCTGATCTACGTCACCGACCGGACGAGATAAAACAGATTCGTACAACTACAGGGTAAAATTTGATTTATCTGACAGACCGAATGAAGAAATATTGACGTTACTGGCTTAACTCAAATATTCATGAATTATACTTACACAGCACAAACATTCAAAAGAACGTCTGAAGATGTCGGAAGATATTCCTACATTCTTTTTAAACTGATGTTCCTAAGATATCACTTGAATAAAGTGCGATTTTTTGCCATATTGTCTCCTTTCATTATCGAAGCAAGATCGAGAGCCAATAAACAAGAAAAGAATAAAGTATGCTATATGATAAGCTAAACCTTAAATGGCTTGATTTTAATATTAACTTATTTTGATAATCAAAACAAAATTACACTACAAAAATCACTATCTATTAACAATTAATGTTATTAATATTTATATATATAATTTTTTTACTCTTTTACTTAATATTTGTATTACATATATACGTCCATACTCTCTTAAAGATAAAAATATCTTCAAAGCTGCACGTTAAAATATACATTTATTTATATTCAATAAGATTGTAAACAAGTTATGCTTACAGAAATGTATTAATCTAAAAACACATTTATTCGCTGCAGTTACTTTTGAATTGTATTATAGTAAAAAATTCGAAATTGTCTTGATGCTTGATAGGATCAGTATTACTAAGACAAGATATTAGACGCACTTCACTGTCGCTAAACTCATAAACATTGCCATATCGTTCACTCACGTATCGCAGAAGCGTTCATAAACCAGTCTTTATAATATAATGATAATTTCACGATAACTCTATCTTTTCCATCACAAATTATGATATATCTATTTACATATAATTTATTTAAGCTCCTCGCCTCCACTTCTCTCCGTTACTGAACTTGGTCATTTCTCGACCGCTAACACCACAGGTACCAATTCCCACACGACCATTTACGTTCTCCGGTGTCGCAAAGATGCTCTTCTTTATAACACCTTTCTTCGAGGACTGCAGAGAACAAAAATAGTTATAATAGAAACATGATTTAAACATATTCTGGATATGCTATGTAAATGAAGTATTGCATACCTTGTTAGTAAATGCTAGCCACTTGTTCTTTTCCAATTCCCGTTCCTCCTCCAATTCTTTGAATCGCTGTAATTTCCTCTGCTTCTTTTTCTTAAGGTATTCCCTTTGCTTATTTGGATCCGAACCCGCAACTGCAGCTGCTTGCATTTTCCTATAATTATATATAAACGAATAAATTTATCATTTGAGTAAAATAGAGACAATTCAAGATATTTTAGATATATAAATAACAATAACGTTTCCATATATTTTTATCAATACATGCATTTCAATAAATATTAATATTATCTCGATGCATGTACCAATTACTTACAACTTACAAAAATTAGTATATTATATCATAAATTATTATATCATAAAATTTATGATGTCACAAAAGAGCAAAATAATATATATATAATATTATTATAATAATATATATATTATTATAATACATATATACTTTGTCATTCACTGCATAGAATGTAATTACAATTTGTCAATTCTTTTGCACATATATAATTAATTTGTTTTTCAAAGACGTGGTCCAAGAATTGGACAATTCTTGTTACCTTTTTCTGGAGCCCGACGATGCACACGGACCGCGTGACATCAAAGGATAAATGAACAATAATGAGCATATTTCAGATGTAATACCATACCAATGGTGGAGTTAGTTGCCAATTCAGAAATGAGAAACAGGAGGAAAAAATGAATGATTAGTAAATTGTCGCCTTATATTTTTTATGTTTCTCATAAAGGTAGGCATGTGCAAAAACATAAGATATATTTCACATCGATTTACAATGATACATTATCTTAGACATCATAGATCAGGAATGACTTACTTTGATTTTTGATCTGCCCAGTCTGATGCTGGCCTCTTAGCAACAGACTTTAGCTGACTGAGCATAGTAACATCAGTGTTCTTGTACTCATTGAATGTTACATTTACTATTCCATCTTCACTTATTGCATCTATAGTTGCTTCATAATACCTGTAAGATTTTGCAATATATAATATTTAAAAAATTATATAAAATGTTTTATTTCAGAATATTCATTGCATTTCTTTTTAAATAAATCATTATCAATTTTTTTACCCAAACAGTTGATTACTTATAACACACTATCATAATTAATATTTACTTTAATAATATTAATATTCTTGATCTTTCCTCTTTAGTATTCAACATAAAATTTGACAATAGGAAAGTTAAATTCAAAGTTTCTTAAAATAAAGTCCAAGTATTAACTGCAAAATAAATTTGAAAAATAAAGCAAATAAATGATATGCTAAATCCTTTCTGATTGGAATTTTTTAATTTGTAAATAATTTCACCTTAGTATTATATCATGTATTTTATGTTTTAATAATGACTCAGGTAAAATATCCAGCTTTCAAAACATTTTATATATCAATTCAATGCTATATATAAATTAGATGACTTTTCTTGCACAACTCGATCAAAATTCAATTTGATTATAAACAATAGGCCTGTCTTTAAAACTGGAACTAGATTTTTGCATAATGCATAAAACTTGTGCATAATCCATAATGCATAAGAAAATCAACCAATCAGAGTCTTTTATTTTTATAGAAATAAAGGAAATAAAGGACTTTGATTAAAGAGTTAATTTTTTCAAAACTCGTATGTTCTCATTCTTATAGAATTTTCTGAAGGTGTACACAATGCAATAAGTTTAAATAAGACAAACTACATTTGTTTTCCTTCAACTTATTGCATCAGTATATACAAATTCAAAGAGTTCATCAACGAAGAACAAATCTAAAATACGAATGATACTCACTTGTTATCCTCGCTCCAAGGTGCCATACACTGATCGCCGACTTTCCACTTATTGGCCAGAACTGCAAGCAAAATAGGATCTTTAGCATCCATGCCATTGGCTTGTCTTTTTTCCTGCTGTTGTGACTTAATTAAATCATGTGTCAGCTTTATTACTTCCTTCAGATCGAATTTCAGCTTTATCAACTCTTCATTATTCGGATCTGTCGTGAGAGCCGCTTCCACCTGAAATACAGAAAAGGATAAGGAGTCAGTCCATCCTAAGGACATTGCAAGTGGATAAACAATAGTGAGTTGTCACATCCAATCGATTGTTACGCGAGGTTAAGAGAGGAAAAACAAGGCTAAACACCTGCTGAAGCTGCAGCTTGTAATTCTGTAAGTCATCCATGATGCTCGTTTTATCTCAGAAATGGATTATCCAAAGCCACGGCGCGGTACAAGAACTCGATCTCCTCTTTTCGCTTGACTCAGAACTGTTACGAAAATAAAGTATTGTTAGTAATCACTCCCGACGACTCCAATTCATTCCAGTCTACTACAATTGACAAGCGTAAAGCAAGCAATGCTGCCAATGTAACACGTTGTTGACTTTCTCGCTTGCAGGACTACGATGCGAAGATTAAACTATTCGGAAAAGATTTGGCGAATAAGAACAAACTACGAAGAGACAAAAGCTTATTGTTTCTGTTCGAAAAATCCAGAATTGCTATTGCTTAGAAACATACAAAACATGTCGACGTGAGAAGCATCAATCATAAAGTTAGTTGAAGTAATAACTCTGCTTGTAAGATGGCGACACAATTGCTTGAAATAATGAGATCTTGAGAATTTGATTCTATCATTTCTAAAATTTTGTTTTTATTATGTAATAGTAAATATAAGCATCATTTGCTGATTAATTAATGCATGTGGCTAGAAAATTATTCGATATTTTCTTTCTTTTTTATTATAAATAAAATAAAATTGCAAAAAAAAGGTGCCAACATCACACGGTATTCCCAAGCGGTCACCCATCCAAGTACTAACCGTGCCCAACGTTGTTTGACTTCAGTGATCGGACGAGAACTGGTATTCTAAACGTGGTATGGAAGTTGGCTGAGAATCTAATGGCATATTAGTTGTATTTAAATGAAAAAACAGCTTTATAATTATAAAATTTTTAGTCTTGTTTCTAGTTTTCTCACTGAAAACACACAAAAAGTCAATAAAAAAAAAATCAAAATAACTTTATTTTTATTCTTAACGTTGATAAATAATTAAATTTTCTAACAAAAAAATCATCTTGATTTTCATGACATCAAAATAAAAGGTTTATTTGCGTTCAGCATCTTCATTTTCTCTCTTTTCAACGCCTAAATATATATATTAATATATCTATCTCATTTTTTATTAAAAAATTTTTGAAGATTTTAAGCAATGCGAACAGACCTAAGGTTGTCTTTTCTTACACTAGATTGCATTAGAACTCTTTTTTGTTTTCGCCAAATATTAAATATTAAATATGTATTAAGAATCTTATTATTATATAACAGTTGCAAAACTTCTTTTTCTATTGAACTCTCTTTTAACTTCTTTTTGTAATATGGCACCTGTTATTTTATGAAGGTCAATATGACAGATGTTTTGTTAGTGTATATTAACAAAAAAGAATTCGATTAGAAGTATACTAGTGCGCACTTAAGGCCGTTGTATACTTATTTAATCTATATAAAGATAAAACACAAATGGGTACCGTAAATATAGGTGAATTAGAACAAGTGTGAGACAGCATGTATTATTTATTGTTAAATTTAATCATGGTATCCATCCATAATTGAATTTAACAAAAATACATGCTGTCTCAAGTCATCTACACTTGCTCCAAGTTATCTATTTTATGGTATTCCGAATTATGAAATAAAATTTACTTAGCAGCACAATAAAATGTATCGAGGATTTCATCAATTTTATAGTTTAATCCGTTTTTTTTTTGCCAATTGCCTGTCCTAATAGCGTTTTCGACCCGAGCGGATTTGCTCCTATTTGGATTGGATAATGTTCTACTATTGGTTGACATTATATATTTCACCAATAGGAGAGTATACAACATTATTAATCCAATCTAGGTTGGTGTAAATCCGCTCTGGTCGAATACACTAATTATATTGGCTGACCGTTGAAGTTGTGTGGTTCCTACACCTTACACTTAAAAAAAGGACAGTATTTAAGCTGATTTAAGCACGGTACTACGTCATAAAGATCGTAAGTTTCTTTTACAGCTGTTTAGTGTGTTTTGACAAAGATGTTATTATCGTGCAAATGTATATATTATGTAACTCTATTGGTAACGCAGACTCTCGTGATGACGCTGATGACAGTCTAAAATAGTCTAAACCTTTTAATAAGAGTGCCACGATATATGTAATTTGTACGCTGTCTTAGGGTTAGAAAATTTCAGTCATGGCATACCCGGTAATTCTAAATAACAATTGTGACGATTACATTTGCACGCAGTAACAATACGATGCACGCTTATTCTATCATTTCATCAGTTTATTATTAAATCTCCGAATCGCCTGATTCGCGCACGTTAAGTTGATACAATTAGCTTTGACGTACAGACGAGTAGTTGGCGTCTGATTTCGTTTACAGCTTGTACGACTTTACGATTTTTCTCTATTGTATTTATCTTATCCTCGTTCCTTCAAGAGCGCGATGTACGGCTCTACTGATCCAGGATCAGAAATAAATCCAGAAGTACAACGATGGTTCTCCACAGTGGACAGGGATGGAAGTGGACGAATAACTGCTACAGAATTGAAGCCTGCATTGGCCAACGGTCAAGGAGGTACTTTCTCTGACACAGCGTGCAAATTAATGATCGGTATGTTTATAGGTCTTGTACAACAAAGAAAATACAATATGTCGAATTTTGAGTTCCTTTCACAAGTTATAAAAATATTAGCAATATTAATTTTATTTCCTTTACAGGCATGTTTGACAAAGAAAATGATGGTACTATAAACATCACGGAATTTCAAGCTCTTTACAATTACATAAATGCTTGGCTCGGTGTATTTCGTGGCTTTGACCATGACAATTCGGGTAGTATACAAGAGAGTGAATTAAGCGCAGCTCTAACACAAATGGGCTACAAGCTTAGTCCAGAATTTATTAAATTCCTCATAAAAAAGAGCGATGTTCGTGATCATCAGTCCATTACCGTTGACCAATTTATAGTATTGTGTGTTCAAATACAGAGGTTTACAGGTAATTAAAGATACTTATGTAGAAGGAATAGAATTATATAATTTATCATTTACTGATTTATTTAGAAATTTGGTATTGTAAACATCTGTACATGCAATAGTTGACAATATTTAATATAATCTAAGTACGTTTATTTATTAAAATATGTCAAAGTCTTACTAGAAAAGCTTTGAATCATTTGATTGACCAGATAAGATGAATAAGAAAAAAGAATTTTATAAATTGGGGGGATCAATAGAAGAATGCTTCAAAGCATTTGACCATACTTTGTGTTACAGAGGCATTTAGGACAAGAGATATGCAACAAACTGGATCGATTACTATTGGATTTGAAGACTTTCTAGGAGTAGCTCTTAGTTGCAGCATATAACATCTCCATATTTTGATAATATAGTTAAATTATTTTTATATATCTATGTATGCTGAAAAAAGTTATTATTTAGGTTTAGGTATAAACTCAGGCTATAAGTTCTATTTTTCTATCTTAGGAAATAATGTAAAATGATGATTTATATGTATTAGTACTTGGGCTTCTTTAAGATATCTATTTGTACTTGGAAATTTCTCTTTGTTCTTCGCTTAAGCTTCGCCGCTTTAATTAATTTTAACGATATTTTTAAAATAAGATTATTAATAAATATAAGAAACGCTAAAAAATATGCTTCTTACCGATTCTGTTGATGTAACACACAGTACCTCAAATGACAATGAAACGGTTTTACATTCATATACGTAAATAATAATACTTAACGAAATGTTTAAATAAAAATGAATATCACATGACAAAAACGCAAGGTACATTATATCGAGCAATATCATAGCTTTTGTATATTTACATATGATAAAAGAAAAATAGTTCATAATATTTTTACCATTTAAATGACCTTTATACTATCGAATGTTTACATCTAATGTTTATATAATGTTTATAATTACTATCTTTAAGGATACAGATGTGAAGCTCTGAAGGGATGCTTGAAATAAATAAGAATTTTCTTTATACAGATACTTTGAGAATAATACAGATGTTTTAAATTTACGAGACTATAAAATCGTATTACTCCACATGAAACAGGCTCGAGAAAGAATTCAAGAGTTTGAACGATTACAAAAAGCACGACATCTTCTAGATGCCATTTCATTATTAAACGATTTGCTTGCTGATGGTTCCGAAATAGAAATACTATCGCTTGCTGAAATAATAGTGAGAAGATTAAAAAAGTTAGGTGTGACAAATATAACGTCTGATAAAGAAAACGGTATGTACTTGATATATATGAGTTTTCTTTACGACGCATAATAGAATAAATTTTATGTATATATAAAGAAAACTTATATGTATTATATTCTTTTTGTAGAATATTGGTATAAAAATACGAGATTATCAGCTTCGAGGTTTACACATAGCGGTATTTATCATTGTTGTACATTTTGCTCCAGTGGTGGAAAGAAAGAAATTATTTGTGGCTGCAGAGGCACCATGCCTGGTAAGGATTATAATTTCAAAAATTAAATTTTTAAATAGAACTACGGAATAAAACATAAAAACAAATTTTTTTATAATATTAATTCTATAGTATTGTAATACATTTACAAAAAGAGCAATTTTTAATAGGCTCTATTCACAATTTAGACATAAACAATTAGATAAAAGATAAATTAATTTTTATAAAGGTGGTTACAAAGGTTGTGGCCATGGACATATTGGACATCCAGGCTTTAATCATTGGTCTTGCTGTGGATCTATATTACGTAATGGACGTTGCTTAATTATACGAAAAACTATGCATCAACTTATATTGTAAGTCTTAATAAATTAATAAATATATCTTTGTGTATAAATATAATTTAGATATTCCAGTTTAAAAAAAATTAATGTTTTCAATTATGCCTTGATTTTTAAAAAATATGAAATTGTTTCAAGAGATTAAGTATATGTATATGTTTGATCAATTGAGATTTGGATTTATAAGTTTTGAAACAATTTCATACACAATAGCAGTTTCTTATTGAGAAATTTCTGATTAAAAGTTGTATAAAACTTTAGATGTTATTTTATTCCTGCATTAGACTATACTAGAATTCTCTTTCTTGTTTTCGCTAAATACAAAACATATATACTTCTCACTTTAAGTTCCAAAAGTGTACATTAGTTTAGACACAAAAAACAGACCTTTTATTTAAAGCAAAAAAGGTAATCTTATCAATATTTAAATTCTGTTTTGCAACAGCTTATATTGATCATTAAACTTAATAGTTTAAATCATGCAGTAATACTTAACAAAGTAAATGATTATTGAACATCTCTGTTCGAAAAAAAGCAGAAAAGTAAGAAAGATAGAGAAAATATGGAATTTTTTATATTATGCTTGTCTTACCTTAATTTTATCGCTGTTTAGATGAAATGTATGTGACAACGAAATGTATATGAATTAATATCAATTTTACACAACACACACACACACACACAAATATATATATATAATATATATATTAGGTGTTGGAATTAATTCGTAGCGTTTTATATTGTAGATATTTTTTATATATTTCTTTGTCAATATATTTACATATATATAAGGTACATACATAAAATCAGGTGCTATTTACATTTGTATTTATTATTAGTTACAAATATTCGTACTATATTTAACTAAACTTAAACATAACATGTTTCAAAACACATCAGTCGCGACATAACTTGCTTCTTGTTCAATATTGTTTAATGTTGTATTAACAAAAATATATTCAAATGTTATAATTATTTTAATAATTCTAATCGGTTTGTGTCTCAGTCAAAGAGCTTTGGAATGTATGCTTTGTACCTCAAATGACAATTATGTCTTTTTCGCTTACTATTTCCATTATCCTATTAATCACATGACAATTATATTACAGTATTCTACACTAATAAGACTAATAAGAGTAACACTAATAAGAATTAGTGCGCGAATGCACATTTGTGCGTGGTCTTATACACATCGAACGCTGCTTTTATTATATATATGAAAAAACATTTATAAATTTTGAAACATTACGTAGTAAGTTTTAAATCTATAGATTTATATTACAAAACTGGAAGTTTATATAAATCATACACTGTGCAAATGCGAATTGTATAAAACTCATTATACAATGTTTCAGAATTTATATTTTAATTCATAAATAATTGAACGTACTTGCAAATCTTGGCTACATTGTGTGCTTCTCCAAGATCATTAGTTGAAAATATGTCGTGGTTGTATTGAATTAATAGATTATTTAGATACATCCTTGCTTTCTGCAACATTGTTGCTAAGTACATACCAACTCTTTTTCCCACTCCAATAGCATCTTCATTAGCATGACCTCTATGCTGTATACTCCACATGCATTCCTTGCACGTTACCTGAAAATATATTATTTATTTATAAACCCTATAAAATAGTAAGTCATTAAGTATAGTAAATGAAAAAGAATTTGTATGACTTCAATAATGAAAGTATTAATTATTTAAGTCGATTGCATTTCCTTTGTATACATAATGCAATATTAAAAAGTATATGTAGGAAGGAAAAATTTTTGTAAACCTGCTGACACGCGATGCAATAAAATCTTAAAGCGTGCGTTGGATGTATTTGACATAAAATCGTTCGTCGTACTTTAGTAGCCTCCCATAGTGGCTTCATTAAATGTTTAATTGTTCTTGCTTCCGCAATATTTTGTTGTTCATGTTGCCTGCCGCATTCCGAGCAAAAATTGCGCAAACACGTTGAACACTGTATGAGTGCCTTAAAAGAATAATATGCGGAAAATAATATAAAACATTTCTACTTTATGATAAAATGAAAATTTTAAAGCAATAATAATATCTATAGATCGTCGTGGATTGTACCATAACTTCGTCTGTGCAGGTATCGCAAAGTACTCTATTGACCAGTTTACGTCGCACGGTGTCCATAACTGAACGATGTTGTAAGAGATAATGCGGTGGCGGTACAGCGGAATTAGCATTCGGCAAATGCGAGTCGCATAACGGACACGTTTCGTAAATATCGGGTTGTGTGTAAATTCGATTTTTATCTCGTATTTCGCTCTTTGAAGGAACTGCAAGGATATAATTCTCATCAATATGTCTTCATAACAAATCAAAAGTCAACGATTATAACAGTTACATTAATATTATTATTATTAAAAGTATTGAATTGAATTTCCCTTTGTTGACATCAAATTTTTCTTTCGCCACTTACTCTTGCTCATCAATTCGTAAACGCAAGATAAACATATAGGATGCAAGCAAGGAAGGAGTCTAGGTTCCTCCATTCTCTGCCCACATCTGGGACATTGGAAGGCTGCATCGTGCGACAACCTATATGAAGAATGCATCGGTTCTCTCAGATCTTCGAGTTCATTGTCTATTTTGTTGCGAGTGAACACGGGGGAAGACTGGTATGCAAAACCATTCGAATTCGGTGAAGGTGCACGTCTTTTTCTGGAATCTTCGTTACTGAAAATAATCAAGGACATTTATAGTTATTGTAAAAATAAAAAAAGTTTTAAAAATTCTATTCACATCAGTTGGGCGATTGATGTTTTACATAGTATAATTGTCATTTTAACTCTCTCGATTCAAAGAGACTTTATATGTTAAATCATATATCATACATTAATAAGTTTTAATTTAAAGATCGCATCGCTCACCGTTTGTTCGGTGCTATCATCATTGGTTCAACATGAACGAAATCTTCAGTATTTATACCTTTGCTCTTGCATTCGACCAAATTTGCGTAAATATGATCGCAGCTTCCAAGCTCACTGTCTACCGTAGTCTCGCGACCGCAGCAACTTTTCGAAGAGCGTTTCGCCGAACAATTCACGAAATCCATCGATTACGTTAAAAATGCAACTGTAATGAGAGTAACTGCAATAAATATGTAATTTTTTTTCAACATCAAAATCTCAATCAATAATTACTCACCAAAAAATTAAAGTACAATTGATGGGAGATACGAAGGAATAAGTTAACGGGCCGCACGAAGTCTTCCTACTACTTAAAACTCATTCTGCAACAACGTAGTGGGTTAAAAATAACTTTAAAATATAGGCTATGAGCCAAACGCATGGAACTTGTCTTGAAATGCGAAATCTTCGCTGCTCTCCAGTTGCGAAATTATATCTTTAATATCTGAGATTATCTCGAGAAAATGTGGAAAAAATTTATTATTCTGCACAAATCGTTTGCTAGCACAGAAATGAATAAAAATACTTGATATTTATGTAACAATTTATTAGGAAGAGATTTTCTCATTTAATATAATAAATTCTTTCAGAGAGATAAGATTTTTTTTAATTGAGTGAATAAGAATTATTTATAAATAATTTATAAATAATATTGAAAGCAATACACTTTTAATTTAAGTAATAATTTTTTTTCTATTTGAAAGGTAGGTGTATGCGAGGAATAAATAATAAAATATAGATATGGATAATAAATTTTATTTAGTATCCATGTAGTGTAAAAATAAGATCGGCAATGTTATATATTAAAGAGTAAGCAGTACATATAAATGACATACAGACCTCATACAGTATTTATTATACATATCGATTTTTTAATTGAAGTACTTTCTAAGGCCATAATAATACTTAGACAAGCTCTCAAATAGGTTGACGATTACGTGACGCTGCTTTTTATCGCGTCAGCAATCGTTGGCGCAGTTAGAATCACATGATAAGTACAGAATAAAATTGATTAATAATACTTAAGACGAATTAAGTAATGTGACATTATTATTAATATCGTATATCTATAAACAATACTTAAAATCTATCTACCTTCTTAGAACATTGTTATCAATACCGATTCTGAAGGCGATCATTCTTCATAAGGTACATATGTCAACTGACACCTTCATGACTAGTATTTCAAGATTGGCCAAACTGACACGACTGTGTACTATTTATCTTTGTACCACTATCATTTCTGAAACTTGATAAAATTTAGATATAAAATATACTGATTACTATATTTTAACATATGAATTTAATTCGCTATTACCTCATGTCTTTACTCGAGGACCGACTTTGATAAATCCATTCCGAGATTTACCGTTTCTTACATGACTACCGCTTTTACTCTTACGATGTTCAAACAAAACATCATCAGAATCAGTGTCAGATTCTGATAATACCATCTTGTGAGTTGAAACTGTATACAAAAAGAAAATTATTATAACTTAATAGTTATAATAAATAAACATGTGATATATATTCAAATATTTTTGAATACATTCAAATATTTGAAAGAATAATTCTTAAAATGGTTTGAGCAAGAAACAGTAAAATAAAATATTTTAAATAATAAAATTTTATAGTTTTAATACTTTTTCATCTAAATTGACATTAAAAAAAAAACTCTACAGTGATAATGACAAATAATTCAAAACACTGATTATTACTGTCATTTCATGAGCACAAATTGAGTAATAGAAAATTACATACATGCACTGCTATCATCTTCTGGTTCTGGTTGTAACAGAGAATAACGTGGTGGTTTCTTCTTAGGCCGAAGCAAACGTCTTCTACCAGCGCATATCCTCTGACACAAGCAAACAAGACCCCAAATAAATCCAACCCAGCATATAACTAATGATAGCAATGCTATTATCACATACAAAATGCTCCAATCTGAAAAAAAGAAAAGGGATTAAAATATAATGTAGAATAAAATGTGTAAGCTATGTTAAAAAGTGCACATAAAATATAGAATGTACATAAAGTAATTTAAAAGATACGTTGAGATCATTGAGACGCTGTGTATTAAATAATATTGGTAAATAGAAAGAAAAAAACATACCGCAATTAGAGTCTCCGTTACCAAAATACTTTTGTATTAAATTCTGCATCCAAAATGCTTCGCATAAGCATTGTCTTGTCTCTTGATCGCATACACCATGACCTAAACAGAAATCTACCTTTATTTCCATTTTTACATAATTTTTAGTTTTTACATAAAATTTTTGCATATTTTATATTGTACTTTAATATTTTATATTTTCAATATAATACCTGAACAATTATTTTGGCATACAGCGGTATCTATGTTAGCAACTGATAGTTGTAGAAGACCAGAATCTTGTAGTAACTTTTCTTTTAGTCTTTTGACTACTTCTGGACCTGGTAATATTGTTTTTCCTCCCTTCTTTTCCACGTAAAATATTAAGACGGCCTTTCCAGTGTGTGGTTCCGCTCTCAAACTTCGTACGACAATCGAAGCTTCGTCTCGCAACAACATTTGCAGTTTCACTACCAACGAATCTTTTTGTGAAACAGTTAACATACTAGCCCCAATGTTTAGCGTTAGTTCTACCAAGTACAACAACTGCGGATCTATGGAATAGAAAGAGAAGTTAAATTTTTAAATTATCGCGTTACAAAATGGTGATATATTTTTTTCTAGTCAATACTAACCGGGTTTCACAATTACTGACACAGTGTCTTCACTGCTCAGACCTTGATCATCCATTACTTTTAATCGAAAGACATAACGACCAGGAACTATATCTGTTAGCTATAAAAAAAGACAACATAAGCATATATATATTTGTGCATACATATTGTGTACACAATCAAATGGAATTGATTTTAATTTTACCATTAAGACTGGTGATTTATCTGTATTTTGAACTATAGTGCCAATCGCAAGACTAGATTGATCTCTGGTCCACAGCCATTGTCCTATCCTTAAGTCATCGCTCGATTGCGATCCATTGATGATTAACGCGCTGATCGGTGCCGTCTCAACTTGATCGCCACCAGCGTTTGCTTTCGGAGGTGCATTTTTATCTAGGGAATAAAATTTGTTATATACATCGCACGATATAATATGATTGAGAGACACTTACTACTTACTTTGTGTTACCTTTACATTAACCGTATCCGAATCCGCGTTTCCATTATCATCAACAACAGTCAATTTAAATACATAATCACCCTTAGTTAGTTTTGTAATATTTGTGACGGATTCATTAACTGTAGCAAATTCAGCGTTATTAGGCCCGCTGTAACACGAATGATACATTTTTAAATCTAAGATACATGGCATATATATATATAGTAAGATGTAATTTAATTAGATACATTGTACCTTACTTGCTCCCAATGATATAAGACAATTTTGATATCATCCTTACTTCTTGTGCCATTCAGAACAGCGCGGGTTGTCGGTAATGCTATGCTTATATCGTCACCAGCATCGGCTACAACAAAATTAATTGAAACATAAGAAGTGGTACATTTTAAATTGTTAAGTATTTTCTATCACTGTGTAGTTACAAAATTTAATAGATTTGAAATATTAATTAACAAAAACGACATCTACCCTTTGGTGGTTTATTCGTTGGAGGTTTCACAAAGACATGCACTTCCGCTATGGAAGATTGCTCGGAATCGTCTGTTACTTTAAGTACAAATGTATACATTCCTTCCTCCAAGTTTGATAATTGTAAATAAGGTGTTCTTGTGTTCTGCATATCTACCGCTTTATTCTGATCAGATGGACTCTTGGTCCACTCCCAATTGGCTATTCCTCGATCATCAGTACTTAAATTACCGTTAAGCGTCAATGTATTTTGAGGTAGATAAATGATAACATCTTGGCCTGCGTTTGCACTAGGAGGATAGTCAGTCACTTTCAAGACAGTTATATTGGCACTTGTCGAATTTGTAACGTGATTTGAATCTTCAACTGTTAATCTGTAAAAATAATTTATATAAAGAGGATTTATATAAAAATTATTAATATTTTTATATAAAAATTATAATATTTCTAAAGGCTCATTTTTACCATGCCAATCGGTATAGTAAGAAATTTTTCTTTTTCTTCTTTAAATAAAGAAGAAATCAATATGTCAATCGGTTATGGTTTAATATAGCAGTTTAATATAGCGGTTTAATAATTATAATAGCATATTGTATAATTATATTAGCGGTAACACAGTTAGTACTAACTTGAATGTGTAATTGCCAGCAATAAGATTATTTAATTGAAGCGTAGGTGTATCCACAAGGTTAGGCTGATATCCAATCGGACCTTGTTGCAATTCCCAATGATAAGAGATAACACGATCATCATCTTTACTACTCGAACCATCCAAGACCGCGCCTGTATTTGGTAATTTTACAATTTGCGAAGCAGGAGTAATTATGGCAATTGGTGCTTGATTGATACGTTTTGCTAAAATAAAATCTCAGATTAAAAAAAATCAATACTTCGTAAAAAAAAAATTTTTTTTAAAAAACTTACGAGGTAAAACACTGACATTGGCATACGCTTCTCCATAAGCATTCGGACTGCTTACAGTTACTTTAAACGTGTACAAGCCTTCTGATAAATTGCTTAATTTAACAGTACCACGATTTTGATCTGTCATTGTTCCAGTGTGTCCCTCTGGTTGACTAAGCAAACTCCAGACGTAATTATAATGTTGATTGCCTCGATCAGCACGAACAGTATACGCAGACCACATAGCTTCGTTTTCCGGTAATCTCACTTCCTTAGAAATTGCCGAGACTACTAATTGCTTCATAGTCGGCTTAATTGACGTGCTGGTTTCTTTCATAGTTGGAATTTTTATTTGTTGTGTTACACCAAGGTCACCAGTGTCTATCTCATCTATCATTATACAAGTACCTACAGCAGATATAAATCATTAAAAATACAATCAATTTTAGATTACACAAATGAGTAAAAGTAAAACATACCAGCAATAGTCCGCTTGAAGCCTAAAGGACACTGACAAGTTCCAACATCGGTATCTCCATGTTTTACGCAAATTTCATTATCTAGACAACCCGATTGATCTATACAATTGATAATATTGATTCTGCTTGCTTCGTTAAACAGTACTTGATCTTGCTCTGTGCCATCTGTACTCAATGTTCTAAACATACATGATGCATTAAAGGAATAAATAAATTATTATTTATTGTTCAGAGGGAAAAAAATTGTTTAATGATAGTCTATTTAATTTTGAATTAAACTATTTAATTTTGCTTACCCGGCATTGTCTTCATTGACTTGATCCAATATATCACTCCATACTTTGTTACTCTCTACAGGTCTGACCAATACCATGCTCGGTGGATTATCATTTGCCAATTCAGGTCTGTATAATGGCACACATACCATGGAATTCTCGCATTCTACATGATAACA